ATATTTATCTAATCTTCTCTTGTGAAAAAAAAACTATAAGTAGGCTATCAAAGCTAGCCTTATGATTTTCATGATAACTATTTCATTGTTTTCATTTAGATAAATTCTAATTATAAGTAATATTATATATTTAAAATACTTTTATAAACTTAGTGCATTTAAATGTTTTCTTTTCTCAGTTTGATAATCAATGTTAAAATAATATGCATTCATTTTAGGATGAATATCTATTGCATGCTTTCATTTCTACTAATTTATGTAAATCTTGTTTTAGATCGAACAATGAGCTTATCATTTTATCGTTTTCTATACTAAATGATGATAATGCATATTAATGATACAAATGTTTATCATCTATTCTAGTTTGATATTAACTGCCAAAGTTCAAAGTGAGAATTTAGCTCTAAAAGTTCAAGTCAACTAAAAAAGGTGCATTTATTCTTCACAATAAATGTGTTCTGTTTTTTATTTTCACATGAGATTAGAATTGAACTAGAATGTGTTTAAATAGTGAAAAAAAAATGAATGCACAAAAGAAATATGGAGCCAACTTAAAATACAATACAATTCAGTTCGATATAATCTAATAGATGAAAATAAGATGCAAATGTTTCCGAACAACATTAATAATATCATGAAAAAGTCATTGATGAAAACATGAATGATTTTAAAATCATAGGACTTTGCTTTGTATTGACACGAGTGTATATTTTGTTGATTTTTTAAAAATGTTTTCATATTCTATTTAGTAGAAGATTTCATAAATTGGTCATTTCGTTATTAAATTGAGAACAACTAAATATATATGATAGAGACTAACGTAAGTGAAGAAGAAATTTATGCTATGCATATTTTATAACTACATTTATTAACCTATAATAAAAATATTCAATAAGTCTACTTGTTTTTTCTCTGAAAAGTCTGTAGACCAGTCTCAGATCAATTGAAAACTAAAGTGATCTGTTGAGCAACTCTGTTCCGTACATAATTAGTTTTATCCTTATATTTACATAAGAACAGAGAGATATTTTATAATATTTCTTTAGACATGATAGGCAAGTAATAGAATACTGATTCTTATTTTGTCAAAGTTCCTATGGTTCTATATAGTATCACTATGATCCTTTCTACAAATCATATGGTCCTTCATACTATTATTATGCTTCGTTGTAACCTCGCGATCATCGTTCGTATCATTCGTATGGCCGTCTGAACCATGGGTTTGTAGACAGAGTGAGAAAGACAGTTAAATGTTCACTTTTAGACACTATCGTTTCTGTCTATCGAACAGAAGTTCGAGTGTTGTACTACTTTCGATTTATATAATATCAAATGATTTCCTACATATTGTTCACTTTTTATGAGTTTTGTTCTTATACTCGCGGTATAGGTTTTTTAGAGCGAAATGAACTAGAAAACATTGATACTAAATTGTTATTGCATTGTATCAGAAAATCAATAATAAACATCAAATATATTGATAAGAATAATCTTAATAGATTTATATGTCATTCTCTTTACTACGTTTTTTCTTCAATAAAAGTAGATTTGTCGGAAAAATGCATTTAACCCTTTACCCCCCCTTGGTCACTGGAGTGACCATTTGCAGAACGACTGCAGAAAATAAAGGAAGCATGGGATTCAAAGCCTCCAAGAGACTTTTTTGTAGTAAACTTCATGGGCTATCGATTGGTGAAAAATGTTTCTTTTTCCTATGTTCTCTGTCGGTGATATACAATTTATAAAATCCATAATTTTGAAAAAATCGAAAAAATTGAAATTTTTTTTTAAAGTTCCTTTTCTGCCTAGAAGGAACAAATATTTCGGTGATGTTGTGTGTGGTATATATTGACGATAATGTTTACTACTGATATCAATATCTTTCAAAAGTTTCACAAAAGCTGGGTAGATAAGAGACAGCAATAGACAAAATGGTCACTGGAATGACCATTGGGGGGGAACGACTTAAAATATCTTTTTTTTTAAATATATGTATTTTTTATATCTGACTACGCTAATCGTTGATGTCTTCATGAAACTAAGCGTGAGGATGATGCTACTTTTAAAATACAAGCATTTTTTGTCGCTAATAAAACATGGACGGCGAATTCTATTGTATAACATATTCTGACATCTCTTAAGTGTTCCTTTTCTTTCATTCGTCCAGTATTATTTGAATGACTTCTTCTATATGTCAGTCTATGATTAACATTCACGTCCCATTCTGTATTCTCTCTCTTTTATTTCGTTCTATTTTTTTAACTAAGAAGCTATTAAGATAGCGAGACGAGATAAATATGTTGAAATTCGTTCGATCAGCCAAAAATAAATATATACTTTCGAAATTTCTATGCAAATTCATTTCTATTACGTTAATTATAGATGATCTCTAGTTCGGATACAAGTTCTTCAAGTTCTCATGAGAACATAAGATATAAATTGAATAGTATTCAAGATGCTGATATTGATTATGATATTGAAGGTGGTGAAGATTATGAAATGCATGAGTATTCTGAAGAATCAAGTGATGATTTATCTGATTTTGATGATATTGATTTGAATGATGATCTAGAAAGTGATGATAAAATTCATTCGGATGATAATGTAGGTGATGATGATACTAAATCCTTTGATAATTATAACTGGATAAAAGATGATATAACAGTACACGTACCAGACTTTAAAGGTGCATTTGGTTTATCGGATAAAGTACATTTACCTTCTTCACCAACACCCATTGACATTTTTACACTGCTTTTAACACCAGATATTATTGAATACATTGTCGAGCAATCAAACTTATATCGAGTACAACATAAGTTAAAGCAAAAACCTATGGATGCATTAGAATTGTATAAATTACTTGGATTTCTTTTTTATGCTTCACTTATCAAACTTCCAAGCAAAGGTGATTATTGGTGCCAGCTGTCTAAACAAGATATTATTGTAGATAATATTTCACGTAATCGTATTGATGAATTATTGCGAACATTACATTTCAACAACAACACTTTGAATGCTGAAAAATGTGATAAAATTCAACCATTACTTGATATATTTAATGAACGTTCTAAAGCATTAGTTGATCAAGAAGAATATATAGCTATCGACGAACAAATGGTAGGGTATAAAGGAAAAACTGCTCCAACATCTTTAAAGCAGTATATGCCTAATAAACCATCCAAACATGGATTTAAGTTATGGTCTAAAAGTGGTGTTAGTGGTTATGTATATCAAATTGATTTATATAGTGGAGGTACTAAAGCTGTTACAAAATCAACCACTCAGATTTTCAATAATTCAATAAAACGAACAACTCGATTAGGTAGTACAACTGTTCAAAATGATGAAAAAATGAAAAAACGTGATGAAGATAAAAAAGCATTAGGTGTTGCTGGTTTGGTCGTACTTGATCTTACTAGAAATATTCCTGAAGGAACAAAAGTTTTTGTTAATAATTATTTTGGATCACTTGGATTAATAAGAAAAATGACTGAATTAGGTTATGGAATTATATGTACATTAAGAGCGAATCGAATTCGTCGTTGTCCATTACCATCAGAAAAACAAATGAACAAATATGCTCGTGGTGATTATGATTATCGAGTAACAGGTGATAAAAAATGTATTATTGTTGCATGGAAAGATTCAAAACGTGTACTTATTGGATCAAATCATGTTGGAATAAATCCTGTTACACAGCTGATCCGTTGGGATAAAGATCAGAAGAAAAAAGTAAATATTCCAGCACCTCACATTATAAAAGAATATAATAAAAATATGGGTGGAGTGGATACCACAGATATGCTCTGTGCGTTACATCCAATTCATTTTAGATCCAAAAAATGGTACATGCGTCTTGTATGGCGTGTTTTTGATCTTATGGTTTTAAATGCATGGTTAATATCAAAACATTTACTTGGTCGCAATGGTAATTGGCGTATAGAACGTCTTTTTCAATTTAAACTTGATATAGCACGTGTGTTGTTACAAAAATCTACTTATCCAACACAACTTGTATTAAATCCCGTGCTACAACCAATACAAAATGTTGATTCAACTGATGAATCAGATAATGATAATCCAATTTTATCACATAAAAGAAAACGACCAAAACGTGAATCAAAATTATCTGTATCCAATGCATTGAGATATGATGGTCATGAGCATTGGCCTATGTTTCAACAAGGAAAAAATGGTTTACGTTGTAAGAATGAAGGTTGTAAACAAAGAACTAAATGGACTTGTACCAAATGCAATATTCATTTATGTTTACATCCTGAACATAATTGTTTCATTTCGTATCATACTGAAAATTGAATATCAACGCTTAAAGCATTTCTCTTTTTTTGTAAAGTTATTGATTCGAAAAAATCAGATATTTTTTGTGAAATATAGTCTTAAGAAAACGGATCTACATATTAAAAATAGTTTTTTCTTATATATTTATATCTTTTTACTTCAGATTATTCAACTGAAAAAAATAGAATTTCATTACGAAAAAATTTTTTTTAATGTTGTTCCCCCCCAATGGTCACTGGAGTGACCAACGCCCTTGGCACCAGGGACAAGATGTATCGTCAATTAAGGCATATTGTTGGCATATTGGAAGAACCACTGTTTTATTTAAATAGTTGATGTATTAGTATCTCATCTGGAACTGCTATGGGGGGTAAAGGGTTAAACAGAAAAAAAAACTAAGAACAATAAGTCTAATAAACAAAAAAAACTTTTATAAGAGACGTGCTCATGATCTTTTTTCTTTCTTTCTATTTTGTTTACTTGCAAGATATTTCAAGTTTTATTCGTCGATTATTGGAACCAATCAATTACTGTTGCGCGAAAATTGAAGGAGGAAAAAGATCGTTTTCATCTTTGTCTCTTCATATTTCTATCATTGGGATCATTTCGTTCTAAAATACAGTAAATCAAAGAAATTAATTGGTAAGGTCACCTTAAACGGAACAAAATAGGAAATTAGTATATTGCATATGATAACGTTCGTACATTGTTTTCATGATCTCGAATATCAATTTCATCTATTTCAATAACTGATTAATAATATTTCATTAACATTAAAATTTATTTCTTGAACTGATATTTGCAACAATCAGTTTTTGTTTTTTCATGTTTTCAAAATTCAACATGATAGAAATCTTTTTATATTTGATGATCAATCATAAATAACAATATGTATGAAATGAAATTCAGAGATAGAATTCATCTTATTATATCTATTGATTATTATCAGAGATCATCATGATGATATGAAAGATGTCAAATATTACAAGTTTATCTTGATGTAACATCGATAAGTCTTTAAATACTTAAATATCATGCATATCTATCACTTTTAATTGAAAAATGTTCTTTTTTTTCATTTTCTACATTATCATTCATTTATTTTTAAAGGTATTTCTTGTTTGTAATTTATATCGCCTTTATATTCACATAATGAAATCAATAAAATCAAACAATGTTTATATACTTGAATATGTTCATCAAAATTGAAAATAATTATCAAATTCTACTATTAATAAACTAACTTGCAATATTTTCTTTTATTTACGAATAAAGAAATGATATTAGAACTATCATCGATGGTGATTGAATATGAATTTATTGTGTGATTTAAAAATATTTTATCTATACAATGTTTTCATAATGAAAATACATTAATATTCATTAGTATTAGAGATGAAATGAAGAAAATCTTTTGACTTTTATTTTTTACAATTTGAAAATGAAAATGAAATTAGTACAATGCAAAAAATCATCGTTTGAAAAATTTATTGAACATGATGAATAATTTATATATGTATTAATGCATTGTAGATTTTGAATAATATTTAATTTGATTGCTATTTCTCTATATTATTTTAAGTATTATCGTTAGTTAGATAATTATATTTATTATTTTCTTTTTGTTCTAAGTTGATTTAATCGTATGATTATGGAAATATATATTTTGTATTTAAAAAAAGGTATTATTGTAAGTTAGAGTATGAGAAAATTTTTGTTCAAATTAAACATTTATTGAGTAGAAAAACAATTTGAAATAATAAAGTGTGTCTTATTTACTTTAATATGATAGGAAAGAAAAAAAGAAATTCTGATTTAAATTAAGTTATCCATAGATATAAAGAAAAACAGTCTTATCAAGAATTGAAAAAGTCTTTTTTGTATTAGATAATTTATTAATTTCAATTGAAAACTAAATAATGAATAATTAGTGAATATTTCTTTTGTTATGTCTATAGATTTATTCAATTTGATTTTAACAGACTTTTAAATATGGGGGTCTGGGTGGGTGTGGGTAGGTGTGTGGGGTGGGTGTGGCTGTGGGTGTGGGTGTGGATGTGGGTGTGGGTGTAGGTGTGGGTGAGGGTGAGGGTATGAATATACAAGCATGGGTAAGCCAATAGGAGAAAAATGCCCACACCCACACCCGCACACCAACACCCCCACCCATACACCCACACCCACACCCACACCCACACCCACACCCACACCCCCCCCCCCCCCCCCACCCCCCCCCCCCCCC